GTTTGATCAACACCAATTCTTTCCAAAGTATATCAGTTGCAGCTGATATTTATATATCTGTTTAATTTCTTCAGTAAATCTTGCTTGGGTTTGATTCCGAAAAGATAAATCTATTCAGTCAAACATCAGTGAAGCATTCGCAAGTAAAACGAATTGTTACCACATGCCTTTGTTGCTTAGCAACGGGTAATATACGTACCTGTTGGGGGCGTGTTGTGGCTTAAATGCATTGGGGTTGTGGGCCATAAAAACAGAAATACTGTCTGTGGTTTAGATAGAGTAGTAGATAGCCATTAAAACGCGAGGAAGGATACGTGGGTAGAGGAGTGGTAAACATGGCGGCCATGTTTCGCTATCGCTACCACTGAACAAACTAATTGATGCCATTTCTTATCTGGTGAAATTGAGTGTACAGGTCAATCGATCTGATAGATAGACTAGTATTGCACCATAAAACGGCAGGGTAAACTGTGATTGAGATTGACAGTTGTACAAAGGGCGTAACAATATTTGTTCCGAGTTGATAATTGACGTCGTTGTTTGACCCAAGTGGTGTGCAAAGTCTCAGGCTCGAAGTGAGAACTGGCGAACAACTATTTATCGCTATAAACATCATAGATTGGCACTTGACTTCTACACTGAAGTCAGTGATTGTCTGTTACACGACTGTGACGTAATAGAACAAACGGGGACGTTTTCCCACTGCATGCCACGGCGTGTTCGACTTGTTGAACATTGCTTTCCATTCAGTCCTCTTCTGGACTTAATGTCAGGAGCAACGAAGCGAACGCTACCTTCAGTTCTTATCATGTCCATATTTCCGCCATTTTCTGGTGGGATAGAGTTTGTTCGACGACCGTAAGGACAATTAGTGTCAGGTAAAATTCGGGGTTGGTTGAGGAGGGGAGGGGGAGATGTAAGGGTGGATAAAAATGACGGGGTGGTTTCACTAGCTTGTGCACATCTGCGGGAAGCTGCCATTCAGACCTCTACTGTTATTCAGTAGTCTCAATTAAGCTAATGCTACCCGGTGAAAACATGCTTTCACAGCTTCTGTTCGGAAAACGTTCCCGTTCATCAGCGTAACTATTTTCTTGAAATCTTAGAATTCTTAAGTGAATAATGTCGGTCTAAAACACGAACCATGACATCTAAAAGAGTAATTTTTGAGAACAGGATGTTCACGGTGTAATTATTTTCTTGGTAAATGAAAGCGTTAGAATTACCCGAAAACAAATTTCACCTTATAATTATTTCATCCAAAACCAGTAAGTAGAAAATTACAGACGCAGTCGATTTCAGATACTTCATAAATCGCAAAACATCCTCGAACTATTTTTGTAACAATTTTAGATTTGTATGATATTCCACGGATCAGATCAGGTTATATATAAAGTTACCAATTTTGTGTTTGTAGTAATTTTCAATTATCCCCCCAAAACAGCTGGTGTCCAATGTCGTCTTTAATTGGTAAGATAAAAACCAATATCTCATCAAACAGTATTTTATGAGTCAGTCCTGGCATACTGGTATGCCATTCAGAGGTTTCCTGAACCAAAATGTTTAAAAATGGACTTAAGATGAATAGCATTATACAATATACATATTATAGTATATTGTTATGTCCCAATCGTGTGATAATCCCTTTATATCGCCTAGAGAAGAAGAAAGTACAGGATAATCTGCTGGTGACTGTCCAGTGTTTCAGTGCTGTTGATCGTCCCCAGTGATGTCGTAGGTTGATGTAAGAGATTATTCAGATTGGAAGGTGAACACAGAGGTTCTTTGTGTCGGCCTGCGGGTAGACGATAATCGTTGCGCTGTTGCTGAGGATAGTGGGGGTAAACGTGCAACAACAGCCAAAGGGCAAAGCAGTTGTCGACCACAATACGACAAGACCCGATAGACCTTGCTTGTGAAAAGGCCACCAGAAACAAAGCGGCCTTCATTACAATCTGACCTGTTCCACCGTCTTTGAATGCACAGATTCGGACATCAAGAACCACTTGGCTTTGAAGTTTGCCGCCAACCGGGTCATTTGCGACAATTTTCACTTGTTGTGAAGAAAACTGATACCCCATTGTAGGGGTGGGAGGATAACAGTGTTTGTTTGAGGTTTATCTGATACAAGCCTTGAGTAATCCTGGAAAAGAGCTCGTAATAAAAAGTAATGGCCGTATCGCCCATGGTGGTTTGTGTAATGTTGTTTGGGTTGCTTGTATTTCTTTATTTGTATATAACCCTTGATTTATCGGAAGGAATACAATGGGACTATTCTTTCGGATGAGCTTTCATTATACTGCTACTAAGTAGAATGTACATGTGGCCGAATCCAAGCATTTTAGGAATGGCGTTACATTCGCAAATATTCTGCGAATTGAGACTCCTTCTTGATCCGAACCGACTTAAGAGACTTCCGTGGATTAAGGAAATATTTCAGTCAATTAAAACATCATAAACTATCAACGGACGGTTGTTAGAAAACCCCACAAATCGGCATCGATCAAACGTTGAATTCGTGATCATTTATTCAAATATTTGAAATTCGTCAAAGGGGTCATTTGATGCAGCTGGATTGGAGAATATTAGTACATTGCTTGATTGTTCGTTGGGAATATGACGAATTCTTACTCTGGTGTCTAATAGTAGTCAAAGAAAGTCATTGTCAATTTGACCAAACAAAACAAATTATCAGGTCTGTTTCCTGTAAGTGAACAATTGCAATACTTCTGGCCGTTTTCCGCAAACTCTGTTAAGAAATAGGCCGACCAAGCTTAGCTGATCCATTAACAGATTATGGGATCTGTTCCATAGACAACGATTGTTTCTCAGATACGATTCTGAAACTTCTTGGTCAATTTCCTCTGTGTCTTTTCTGACGACCGCCACGGATTCACTGCTTTTGAGTGACACCAAGAACTAAAGATTGTATAGAGAGTATTTAACCCTTATTGTGGCCGTGTATCGGACGATTAAGCAACTGTGAGCAGAATTTGCCATGGAGGGATTAAGCTTGAATGGCGCTAGGGGTTACTGGTCATGTTAGAGTGCATATCTGTATGTATCAATAGCAGGAACCCCGGGACGTACCTATTAGGTATGAGAAATGATTGACACAAACGGGGTTATTCAACCTGCACAGACGTTAGGTGCCAGGAAACAATAGTATATTGATAAATGATTCTCTTCTCTCCCACACAAGTACACCATGGACTGACACGTTCTGAAGGTCACGTGAATGAACTCCCGGTACAAGTTATAGAAAACTGTTTTTATGATCTGTAATCGTGCTAATTTTGTTTGAACATGCTCATTTTTTTGTAATAGGATAGATTCTGTCATGGGAACATGTGATTCCTTTGTCATGGAGGAATATGTGATCTTTTCCCTATGAATATGTTCGAGTTTAACAGCACTTTAAACGCTGGAGTGTTTCAACTTCGGTAGCTGTTGAGGTCCATAGCTCTACTTTCACAGGAGAACTGTTGGTTTAATCAGGATTAAGGCGACTTTGTGTCAAGGGGATGACAAGTGCAAAATACATTCTTTGTATGTCGGTGTCCACCCCTAGGACGACGTATCCCAGACTATCTTGTCATCGATGACATCTACTTCCAAGACACTTCTTGGGGGAAGGGGTTCCGCCCTCTGGGACTCGCTGCACAAGGCGCTGTGGGAGGGGATGTCAGAACGAGGAACGGGATTAGTAGGGAGGGCTGCCACAAGGGTGAAGTATGGGGAGGAGGTTTTCACCGTGACGGGAAGTTGAAGTTGAGAGAATATTCTGAAAAAGATCTCTACTGGTTTAATTATCAAGGATACGGGCGCTTCTTAAACTATGGTGGGAAATGAATGGTTTTCTTTGGTTTCCAACCTAACAGGATAAGAGGTTTTGTTCAGTGTAGGAGGTTGAAGTTAGATTTATACAAAGACCACGAAACAATACATGAAGTGTTGGCCCTTTTAGCGAAAACGTCCAGTGGTCAGAGAGACCTGTTGTTAGAATGACAGACGTTAAAGGTCCTTGGTGTCAGGCTCGGCTATATCTCACTGTCCGTGATCCTACTTGAGGATGAACAATCATCAAAGGAAATCGTTTAACCCGGAGGGACAGAACAAATTTCAAGATGGCCAACCAACATTTAGAATTAATACTAGAGAGTGCCAACTGTCAAATACGAGAAAAGTATTAATTACAGAAATTTATATTAAATAGATTCCTTTAGTAAGTTAGTTATACGAATCACATTTATTCATAGTGAAACACCACAGTTAATCGTTTCTTGTCGCTGGTGACTCAAAGGGAGGTAACTCTAAGATGGTGATTACGCAAGACACGTGTCTGAGAAGGCGGGGAGCTGATCATTCTCGGTGAACTTTTAAGGTGCTTCGCCTGATTCACCTGGTAAATTACTGTTCCAGATTGGTTTGATGCCTGAACTTATTGACAAATTAATCAACCGAAATTGGACATCTCACAAATTGCATTCGTAATTCAAGTTGCACGCATAGTCAACTTGAAAGATTCACTTTGAAATCCGAAGTAGATCAAATTTCCCCAATCTATGTCTCCATTTGGACGACAAATTGAATTATAATTAAAGGTCAAAGTTTAGCAACATTAAGACAGGGGTGCTTATTAAATGGACGCGCAAGACGAAGGTTGTTCAAAATGCATTAAGATACGAGGCACCTGAGCTACAATGAACAGAGGAAAGGTCACACTTGGTGAAAATGGTCTAATTCACTCTTGGTCACATGCAACGAAAGTGTGATCGCTGTGAAGCCATTTGCGGGAACAATGGGTGATTTCTCAGGTTTCACGCTCGAGGGAATATCGTCCATGTCGTGGAGAATTCCGGCATGGTCTTTGACGGCAATTGAAGACAGATGGGCCCTTCCTCAGTAAAACATCTGTGCTAACGCGTGTCTGCCTTCTTCTGATGTCAGGTTCCTTTTTGGTGTCAGCACCTTTTGAAGACCATTCCTTTATTTTTCAGAAATTGCCCGTGTGATGTAGAAAGTGCTGCTGTCAAACTCTGGTAATGTGAGCCCGGTTGAAAATACATACATGGTGAGTAGAACCTCATTCCTCTTGTGCAAATTTTCACCCAGTTTATGAAAAGGCCAAAGACTACTGTAGTCACAATGCATGCTAACAATGATTGTTTCTGGTTTCCTGAAACGTTACAGTGTTGTAACTTTTAACACTTCATTAGCCCATCATTCCATGTGATAAACTCCAAGAGTATGGCTAACTCAGCTGTTTGATAACCGAGTTATAAGCTCTGCTAATGTTATAACAACCCTTTAGTCATCTGCAATGGTTAGGGATATTCAACAATGGGTTTTATTGCTGTATATAACTGTGGATCACAAATGTGTTTTGACTAAGCTGACCTAGATATAAAGTATTTAGTTCAGGCTGAAAATCAAGGGGGGTCATTAGTGACGCTCCTATCTCCCTTTTGGAATCAGGCAAGAAGTTAAAGCATCATATTGCATCAGAGGCCTTGGACAGATCAATTTGCAATCAATCATGGCTGCTGAAGTCTAAAGATGGGGTTGGATGAAGTTAGGACTAAACTATCTTGAACTAATTGAGTGTATATCTGATTGGCCTGGGGAAGAAGAAAATTGGCCCCTTGGTACCCCATTAGAAATCTCAAGGGGAAGAGCAGTTATCTCATGGGTAGGGGCACCTGTTGGCTCTTTACACTGTTGAGGATTTATAAGGGTAGCCTAGGATCTGGGTACACTTAGGTTTTTATATACTGCTCAACCCATGACCGTAATAATCAGTTATTTCAGATATATAAACTTACGGTTGATATTATGAGAAACAGAAAGATAAAAAATATGGCCATACCAAAAGAAAAGCATTATCAGTGAAATGATGTATAGCCTTAGAAACGAAGCTTGCTCCTAATGTATTGCTTGATAAACTATAAGTTCTGAGTGCCAATCCCAGATCAATGAATGCTTTTGTTAATTCATTATCAGATATTAATGTCATCCTGAATAACCTATTCATTTCAATCAGATATTATTCCTGACATTGCAACAAAGAAATTATGTCCACGTTTCAGGACCCAAACAACATGACACTAATAACTTTCATCAAGTGGATAATAAGAGTAAATAAGCGTGACAATCACCAACATCATTGCATGTAATTACTTGTGGGAGTGCATGAAGTGCATGTCAGAAATTGTAATTTTTAGTAATTACTGTAGAAACAGGCTAATTTCATACATAATGTATGCAAACTTGCTCCAGTATGACATGAGAATGTTTGCTGATATTGAGTTGGGTCAAACATGACTTTCTGATAACTTGATTGCTTTGGCTGACACTTGAACAATGCAGATTCAGTCCAAGGGAATGGACACAGGCTTCGAGAAATGAACTTGACACAAGTAAATTGAACTTATTACCCTGTGCAAACATAAATGGTAAAAATTTTCATCCACACACTACAAGGAACAAAATAGTCATTGTGAAAGAATAAAGAAGTTAAAGATGAATTACAATACCACTGTGAGGGCTAGTGTCAAGCCAGACTCATGTATTTGAATAATCGGATACTAAAGTCAACTATGGGAGCACCGAATTGAAGCTATTGTTACAGCCCGTGTGCTTTCCCTCACAGAGAGCAGGGGATTATGGGATTGTTTGAAGAGGGGTCCTCCTATCGACAACGTTTTACGTTGTTCAACAAATATTGACTGTCTCGATCTGTCACTCATTTCAAATTTACCCAATGTCCAACGTGAGAAGGCAGATTCAGTATGGGACTTTGGTAAGAGATGAACGCCTTCTGCTGTTGGTTTTGGTCACCAAGGTCTACTACCAAGCCGGGGAGGCGCTTCTCCAGACAGGAACATGATACAGGCAGATCCCTTAGGGCCTAGGTGGGCAGAATGATGACATGTGGCTCCCCCTACTGTTTTATGTCTAATCCTGATTACACAGTATAAACCTCTGCGGATACATTTCATGAGGATGAAATCGGAAAGGACAATCTTATTACTCCCTGGACTTCAAAATGTTTTGTCAAGGTACTGGAGAATTTATCACAAATATTTTTATGTATTCTTCTCTGAACCCATGTTCTTCATACACATAATGCAATTTGTTATTTCTTTCAATTTTTATTATTTGGCTGGATAAAAGTGAATGCAGGAAATATTCTGTGCAGAGTTTAAAATTACAAATAAACCTTAGTCATGTAAGCTCTCTGGTTTGCTTTGGACTCATGTAATTAGCTTACAGCCAACTAAGATTTGTATCATTTAAATTGTAAACTTTTTTATTTTAAAGCTTAGTTCCAAGCACAGTTATGGATTGTTATTTTTAAGATAACCTTACATTTAACATGTTGCACTCAGTTGAAGGTCAGTACTTCAGAGAGGCAGCCGTCACACTTTGTGACTTGAAAGCCAAATAAGAGATGGCAGATTATGACACTTAAAAGAATTCTTTCCCATAACTGTCTTGTTATGTGTGCTCTGCTCTGTTATCAGATGTAAATAGTGTTTAAATAGCCCCAGAACTCCAAAACAACTCTGTTTGTTCCTGAAGATCTGATACTCCATCAATATCTGTTCTTGTTAAAGGGGCTGTTTATGGTGATATGTAGACAAAGGAGTCCCTGAAACAACAGTTGTGGGGTCAGTCTGTCCATCAGTGGACTCATAAACCAAGTAGTAGTTACTAGGACCTTCTCCAGTCATGATGACCATAGGTCATAGTTCTCATTACCGCTACACAGGAACTCAAGGAGTGAAGTGTCCTTATTGCCCTCTACAGTACAGCCTAGTTTACGTTATGTATCACCACTCAGATTAAAAGACAAACCAGAATCAAAGGGGAAATCATTGCAGCATATCACTTGACCTTGGAGAAATTACAGCACAAAGTTTTATCACTTGTATTATTGTAGGCTTAGCAGCATTTTGTTTACAATTAACTTTGGTATTTGAAATCTGACACTGTGTGTTCTTCTCCGTTGATCACTGAGTAAAGAGCCTACTAGTCTGCCTATTTTCTAGTCAATATTGGGTTTATGGTTTCCAGATTGTTGTCTTAGCAGTGATAAGCTGGGTTAATGAGAAGATCTTGGACACATTGTACTTGCTAGAGTAAATTATTAGTTGATCAGATCAGTTTCGTGAAATGCCAGTAAGCCGACAGGTAAATGGTACTAGCACTGCTGTAAGTGTCCCTTTGCACCTTACTTTGTGATCACAGGTGATGGAGTGGCAAGGTCTGATATTGTCGGGACACTTTAATGTCCAGCCTTGCCATCTTGACCTTGGAGGCAGTGGTCATTGAATGACCAAATACCCCATGACCAGCTACACAATACTATTCTAAACAAAGAGGCATTCAAACAGGTTTACAGCATGGCACATCAAACAGACTCAAGATCCTCTGTGATGAGGTGAACCAGAGCTCAACCCAACCTTGTCTGTAGGAAAAACAAGATGGCTGACAATGACGTCTGCAGATGTTGTAAAGGCTTAATGAACAGGATCAAACAAACTAGATTGAGGGGAAGGGAAAGGCTAGTCACACAGGGTAATAAAACTGTATGAACTGATGAAACTGTGTCTAGAACGGTCACAGATGAACAGAAGCATCTGACCAAAACCTTTCCCGAGTTCTCTGCTTCATTAATATGTGTCTTAACTGGAATTAAGCATGGACGAAAGATATGGTTGGGGAGTCTTGCAGTGCTGCTATTGTCAGGTTAACTGATCAATGGAGATAATGCAGCATATCACCATGCAGCGACAATAGCATCCTAGACTCCATTAGCATAGGCAGGAGACCGAAACTAACAAGCACATATGAAATGAAAAAAGGACATGGACTGCGATGAAATATAATTGCTACTCTGACCAAGTACTGTAACTAGTGTGAAAGGAGGTTGGTCTTTTGGGGCTGACCATGAGAAAAAACATCAACTGGATTTACAGTTATGCTAATAAAAGGGCAAACCTTTTTTTTATCTTCCTCACCCTGTTGCTGGGTGCAAGGACAAATATGTGACCCCTGTTGATCTACAGGCTATAATTTACTAGTTCAACGAGCTTAAACCGAGATACTGAATACATATACATGCATTAGGGTCTCACGATATGAACTTTTAATGACAGTTTAGGCCAGAAAAAAATCAGTCTTATGACCTTGGGATAGAAATGTGCATTCTGTGCTATAAAACTGGACAAGAAAGTCAAGGGTTTTTTTTACTTTACTGAAAGTTAAGATTTGGGCATCCTAAGATTTTTTCAGGTCAGTGTTAATATGTTTTATATTAACAAACATCATGAACAGTGATTGATTTAAGATTGATTTAGTTGTTTATAAAGTCTCACTTGTTAGTTGATGTCCTAGAATTCTTCAAGATAAACGAGTAACCTGATACTAACAAAAGATAATATTTCTTTTGAAACTACTATTTATGTACAATGCATATGCTTCTTAAAAAAGAGTTATCAGATCGCAGGTCCCATAGTTTGGACCTGTATAAACTGATTACAGTGGACATTAGTACTAAGTGTGCGATAATATCTGAATCCTTCCAGCCTAAGTGAATGAGTAACTGAATGTGTACATGGAGAGACCTGGGTTTAATGGGAACTTAATGATAGTCGCAAATGGTACCTTAGATAAGGGCGACCACCTTATGGGTTCCACTGCTGGTACCAGCTCTATGGAAAGGGCTCAGTTACACAGATAAGGTATCAATGTCATCTATTTGTTTGGGACATGATTAAGGAGATTTAGATGGATTTGAATTCTGCTTAAGTGCTACCTAGAAATAAAGGACATTTTGTAAATCAGTGTAAATCAGAAAACAAATTGAATGTTAAGCGACTGGGTACTTTGCAACTGTGTTGACATTAATTCTGATGGATTGAACGTTTTGAATTAATAAGACAATGTGAGATCTTGTCAACACTTGTTGATAGAGATTAATGTTGATATTAGTTCTGTGGTAGAAATTTTAAAAATGTTTCAAAACACTACAAGAAGCCAGCAAAATGTATTCAACTGAAAATATTTCTTGATAATTGAAAGATTTCAAATTCCCTTTGGGATTTTCCTGGAGGTGTAAAGGGTGGAGATATATGAAAACAATATTTCTCTTTTCTAAAAGGCTGCAGATGCTGGGAGTGGTTTGTGTCTGCATTTTGAAAGGGAAAATTTGTTTCTCTAATAATGGCCACAGGGTGTCAATAGCCGGAGTAGTTTAGAAATGCATTAGGGATGAAATTAATTTCAACTTAAAAGATGACCAATAAGTTTAATGAGACCCAGAGGGCATGTGCCATAGTTGTAAGGGTCACGGTATACAACATGTGAAAACAGGAACCGAAATGAAACAAAACCTGATGTCCCTTTGAGTGGTGATCCGAACCATATTGTAGCAAGGGCTTCGAGCACTTCAGAGAAAAGGTTCCGAACAGAAATTGTCAGATGTAGTTGAGAGTAAAGACATTCAAGATGAAATCATATCATAAAATGGCCAAAACCATATAACCTGGCAACTGGGAGTTGTGTTTACAATGGCTTTGAACTCACTCACCTTAACATGGTTTCTTGTTTGTTATCCTTCATTCCGTAACATGAACCACGGGAGACTGTTGTGAACATATTTCTAAGGCTGTAAAATATCCAAGTCTATCTAATGACTGAAACATGTAACTGATACCCTTTCTATCCTTTTTGTTCTGGTGGACCACATGTTTAAGAATTGTAAGTCTAGCCACCTTGTGAATTACAACATGCATACAAGAGACAATACCTTGTACATAGCTTATCTATGAGGTAGCCTCATAATTATCCTGTTCCTAAAGGTTAATTAAAGGATGGTATAGTTACCTTGTTCGCACCAAATACAGTTGTCTTTGTGAGAGTCTGTGATTATATACACCAGCTTCAGGTGAACTTGAAAGAGTTAACTCTGTCAGTGGGATGTTTGTAACAACAGTGGTAACCGGACAAGACAGTAAGATAGATTGAGTTAATTAGCATGTTAAAACAACACAGGTGATAGTAAGGAGTCCACCTAATCATCGGATTAATAGATTGTTGTACAAACATTGTTGTTATATAGTAGATAAACGATAATCAGCCTATTGTTCATTGACAGGATTTATCAACTTAGAAATAATGCCCAAGTGTAGATCCCTTGGGACAGGTTGATTACCTGTAACGAGTAGTGACTGGGCAGGTAAACAGTATCTGGCCTAGACTTAAATAAATTAGTTCATAGAAATCTTGTTTATGTGCTTGTTTAGGGGATGGACACACAATAGTATCACCTACTTGAGAGATAGTACATTTGAATTAAATGTTCATTGATTGAACAGAATGCAAACAAGTACTCTAAGTCTAGCCTAGGTTTGGGTGTCTAGTCTACCCCTTGGAGTCTCAACAACATCTTGGCTCTAGTTGTGAATTAACTTGTCCCAAATTGGCTCTAGTTGTAAATAAACTTGTCCTGAAATTGTATTGGAAAATTAAAGAAAAAATGGATTAGTTGCAACAAAATAACATGAATCTGTTCTGAAAAAAAGGAGAGAGATTATGCTAGCAGTATTCAGTTGCCGTGGACATAATGAGCATTCATCTCATGCAGATATATATAAAACAGAAAATTCACAGTGCATATCATTCCGTGACAGACTTCAGTGAATGCCCAGTATTCAGTACTACATATTTACACACCTGTATGTATTCATTGAGCATCTTAAACATGAAGGACTTCAGCTATGAACTTGCTTGTTCAGCAGAAAGGTGTAACATTGACTGGGAGAGGGAATCTCTCAGGTGAGATTTGACTCATAATTTTGGCTTCCAGTCTATATAAAATAGCACTTTGGGTATTACACTGGCATTTGGGTGGTAGGGCAGACTGGGGGTTTAAATGTTAACTCTTTTTACGTAATAGGACCAGATTTCATTCTGAACATCGGTGAGTGAGTGAGTTTAGTTTTACACCGCATTCAGCAATATTCCAGCTATATAGCAGCAACATGGGTACTTAAAGCCCTTATCTTGAATCCCCAAAGTTGTTGCTGGAATATTGCTGAGTTCATGGTGCAAGTTCATCTCTTGCATTGATAGGCATTTTGTGACTTGATATTGTTTTTGTTTCAACAGTTTTATTAACTTTGCCCTTTTTTATTTCAGACAGGGAATGGAGAATTGTATGAAACGCCGTGATCTCTTGTCTGAGGACAGTGATCAAGAAAATTGTGTTGAACGTGGAATCATCAGCCCCTACAAGAAACTGAAGCTGTCCGACTCCCCTTTCCTCCGCAGTGGAGAATGTCAAGTACAATATTCAGCGCCCATTGCTACCAAGAAAACACACAAAGTCCTGCAAAGTCAAGGTAAACATATTTGGTTAATTTAATCCATACCATCAAACTAACTACTGCAGTGTCTATCCTTGCACCCATAGCCATTTTTCAGAAAAGCTTTTGAATATGGGCTCAACTAAAAGTAAATTATTAATTGCAAAGGTAGTAGTTAGAATAAACAACCTTCAAACCCCTAAATGGAGTTATCTCCCCTGATGTCACGGACGGTTTTAAAATGATAGTGTAATCTGCAAGAGCATGCAATGTTTGTAGGCAATAATCATCATAACTAGTGTGATGTAAACATTGTATTGTAGGTTTTTAAAGAAAGTTTAAAGTGTACTCAATGCCTCACCCCTTATGGTCACATGACCTCATTAATCATGTGACTCCATCTCTGCGTTATCAGTGTTTATACCATTGATGCACATCAATCAAACATCGCTATCTATAATCTTTACAACTCGTAGTTCCACTGTTTTGACTTTTCGCACCCACAGGAATAACGAATAAAAGGACATTTCTCAACATTGTCAATAATTTTAAGGTTCATTTGTAAAGTTTGAGATAACACATAGAATACTGAACACTGAGATAAACAAACATGCATCTTGCATAAGTTGAACAAGATGTGTCATAGATAAGAAATATAGTTGTCTTTGTCCCGCAAACTCAGCGTTAAGTCTCAGTTGTGGTCCCTCATCACTCAAGAGAAGATGGTTAAACTAGAAGGTAATTCCTTGACTGTAAGACTATTTATGTTATTTGTATATCATCCTCATACTCCCATACTTACCTGGTCATTCAGTTTACAAGACGATGCTTCTGTCTTTGTCAGATTTTAACATGAAACTTATAGTATTCTTATAATTTTCTGAGCATTTTCTTAAATTTTATCACATTGACACGAGGGGCCATTTGAATGATTTGTTTGACTGAATTTAGATATGTTTGGAGAAGCAGTTAAATATATAACAGGTTTCATTGTAATGAACCATGTGATATACTCCTGAAATTCTTTTCACAAATGAAAATTTTCAGCATGAGGTAGATTGACATTTATCTGGCTTAACAAACATGCTAACAGTATTAATTCATGAAGTGACAGTCTGCCTGCACCAGCCATTTTTTAAACTGCCTACCTTTCAAACTCTCAGTGGGGAATAATGATACAACTACTTGTTCACTATGATTCAGGTATGCTAATTAAGTAGGGCTAATTACAGGTATTGTTCAGGTAGAGCTACCTACAAATTAGCACTTATGACCATAATGATCAATATTAAACCATTTATGACAGGCCACTAAAACAATAGTATGCACATGGCTGCGACAGTTGTAGGAAGAGGGGCGTGAATGGGGGTAGGATGTCATAAAGATATTACCTTACCTGTGTTTTACTTACTAGGGGGCCATGTGTTTGGAGAATATGGGATAGGAGGGGGTAGGGATTTTGAAGGAAATGACCCCCTTCCTGCCATATAAACTAGGTGTGAAAAACTTGGTGTCATATTGTTCTTACCTGTAATCAACCAATAGAATTTTACCATGATAGGACAGTGCATGAAAAGCCTATATATATTGAGTGTGGGCCATTCTGTATCATTCCAACCTGAAAATTTACTTTGTGCTGTGCTAGGGTATTAGGACAAGTTATCAAGTACTACAGGAAAACTCGCCATTTCTTTCAAAAACTGATATTTTAATTTGAATATTTTGGATATCATCATGGTATATAACCAACAAGAAATGGAAGGTAAGACAAGTGTTTCAACATTTTATATAAACATCTCTGTGTTTGTAAATGCATAAACATTATTGAAATGTCAATTACAAATTGCTCTAATTCTGAAAATATTGACCTCTGTAAACACTCTGATACAATGTAAATGCCAGCTGATTATCTTAATGTATAAATCCTCAACCTAACACCTACCCACAAAGCATGGCCTTGTATACAAACAGTATAACTCTAAGCTATGACAGCTTCTTGTTTCTCAACTAAAGGTGATCCATTACACTCAATGTTTGAAAGAATAAACAATTTGTTGTTCAGTGCACAATGCCCAAGATAAATATCTCACCTGTGATGATGTGCAGGTACACATACTGTTGTGTTACCTGTAAGGTAGGGGCAAGGCCAATTAGCAAAGCATCAGTGACACTAATGAGTTATTCCATAACAAGCAAGGTGGTATGTCACTTGAGCAAGGCAGCATGCCTCCAAGTCAGATAAAGTCAATATTTAAACATAGACAGAAAAAATAAGACACAAGTAGAAAAATATTTTGTTTTGAAGTAGAGTATTAATGCTGAGGAAAGTTTGAGGGTTCAGTTCTTGGTTTGGAATCGTGGAGACAGCTTGCTTAGACAGAGCAATTCAAGATGGTAAATGCTGTTGATATAGGTAGGTGTTTTTGTCAGAATACTTGTATCAAACTCATTAACGAAGCTTCGTATGAATAACATGCGCGGCAAATCGTTTGATGTCGGGCATCGTTCGAAAGCTCTGAACATCAACAATATCACTGTACCCTTGCCAAGAGTATTTTCACAGTTGTAAGAAGCGATTTTATTGGATAAAGATTGGTTTCTAATGACGCTTTTTCGCCACAGTCTGCTATAAGGGTTGTGATTGGTCAAAATCAGACACGTGACCTAAGGCAGCCAATCATATTACGGCAATGGATACCCTCCTCGTAAACGAAATCTTTTAGATTTGGACAAAAGTTTTGGGTAAAATAATGCTATTCTGAACATATTAAGCAAGAAATCGCTACCAATACGTAAATTATGGAACTTATTGGACGTATCGTGCTAGGTTATGACCTGTGACAAAAATGCTTCATGTATGTATTTTCGCATTAAACATCGTGTCCGAGCGTGAAGATTGAGGCGGCGAGAGCCGAGATGTCACTTGTCAGTGACTTGACTTGCATTACATGATGGATTCATTTTTGAGCAACAATTATAAGTGGTCTTAATAATTTTCTATCTTATTTATTAATATGTTATTTGTTGAATTTTTATTTAAGTTTAAAATAGTACTCTTTTTTCCCCTGTTCTGTTTCTTATCAAAGCAGAGCAGTTGTTGAAATGGGGTTTTTTCAAACACATCATAAAATAGTACTTTAGATGAATTCAAAGGTATATTTTTCAAAATCAATTTTCAGTTTCACCTTCTTTGATTTGATTTTCAAATTTTTAGAATTAGGTCATGATGACAATAATGCTGTCAAGTAATTGCTCCCCTCAAATCATTGCTGAAGTTTGAGGGTCAATATGTGTGTGATATTTACTAAAATATATTTATGATAAATTTGATGCATTAGAAAATATTTCCCAATTATTATTCCTGAATGATTTTTTATTATTATTTTGTTCTATGACATTCTTAGATGGTAATTTGAGTTTTGTCTGTTTAAATATTTCCAAATAACCGAGGGGACCCCTTTGGACCCTTGAGCAAGTGGCAGGTGCTCTTGAGACTAACAGGTTACTTGAGAGAGTCTAACTGATCACTGAGTAGAATAAGACGCGTGCGCACCTGTTGGATGTACCTTGATATCCCATTCTGATTGGTTGAAAGTCCCGCGACCTAGGACAAGACGTGTGGCATCCCTCACGCCCCACCGACCGCCTTGTGTAGTGACACACGCTGGCACAAAGGGTGGATAATATTAGTCGTAGGACAGGAAAACTTGAAAGCTTATCTTAGCTCTATCTAATGCATAGCCGAGATTAAACCTGATGTCTTTTATGAAAAAATATCTAAGATAGTCATGCTGTGATGTATTGTTATGTACATGGGATAGGATGTAAGCAGGAGTTTAAGTTTGGTAGGTGGGAGACAGATGGTTTCAAGTGATATGATGAATCTTGGAAAGCTGTATTCAAAACAGATAAAGTGACACGTGGTACTAGCTTGACAGGTTCAGTATTCTCCATTGTGTTTTTTAAACTTGAGATGATATTACATCCTCAGGTGTAGGTAGGCTTCAACTACATCCTGTCCTTTGCTATTCCTCAAACATCTCAGTATTGTATGAACAAACATATGTTGATTATTCGTCAGACATTGCACAACTTTTTTAGAAACATTGTGACACCCCAAAACCAATTATGTTTTTTAAATTAAATTATGTGCCAATTTTAGTTATGAAAATAGATACGGCATTGAATAATGTAATCTCACTTGAAATAAAACAGTCCTTTCTAAATCAGCAATATCTCTTTTGAAAATATATAATTTTAGTAAATGTTAAGAAATAGCAATAGAAACAAAGGCAGTCAAAATAGACATACATGATAATAATGTTTTTGAAAACACATGGCCTGTTGATAATTGTCTGTCTGACATATATGTGGTATATGTGTTTATGGGTATAGGAAGTGGGAAGCTGGACTGTTAATGAGTGGAGTGGCACCTGACATCAGACACTGGGCATGTTGCCTTGATTGCAGGATGTTTGTATAGGCCTTGATTACCTTAACGATCTCACGGAGATGATCACTGCTCAAGTCTATGTGAGACAGTTTGAGATGCAGTGTAGACTTATGATAAACAGAAAAAGAACAATACTGGAATATTTTAAAGCTATATAGAATATTTATTGATGATATATTTGGTAATGGTTTGATGAAATGTAAAACTGAATCAAGTAGAAAGGAAAATAGAATGATTATTTTTAACAGAAATTAATGTGGATTGAAAACTACACAGAAGGAATGTTTATAAATATTTGTTTACATGTAAGTACTTGAAAAGAAAGTAATGTGGATTGATATATAAACAGAAAGAATTTTAAAGAAATATTTCTTGCATTAAGTACTTAAACAGAAAAAAATGAAAAATGTGTAACTCTTCAATTTCCTTTATAATCAAATTCAAAATCAATAGGAAAAACACTCTCACATCAGAAGTGTATGCAGGTAGTAAAATAAGAAAATATTAAATTATTGTCAAATATTTGTATATCAAACTATCTGAAATATATAAATGTTTCTATATTGCAACACTAAAAATCTGATTGCCCAGACACTTCCTTGAGCACTATTTTCAAACCTGTGCCATATGGCACTGCCAGGTGAATTACACTATGTCACTAAACCACTAATCACCAGCCATGGGGGGCTCATCCTATGTAACAACATGTCACTGGGTAATTGCAGGTAGGTAATACCTACCTGAGTTACCTGTATATTGTCAGTAATCAGAGGCACAAGCCCACCCATGGTGTCAGCCATGAGACCCATCTGTCACTTGCTGTACCAACATCTCTGATTGGTTGATTGACACTACTACTCAACGTGGGATATAACCCCTGCCCCCAGTCCAAGAGCCATTCATTCTCTGCTTCCAGTGCTGTTCACATCTAGATTCGCTTACTTACTTATTACATACTAGTACATTCAATATGGTTTGGTTACCTACTGTGGAAACTGACTCTCAGAAAATCATGTTAAAAGGTAAATTTAGTTGTATTTGTCAGCTACACCTGTAAATATCTCAAACTTTACTATGTTAACAGTCTAAGTGAAAATTGTCTTATTTCATTTATTTCGTTGAACATGTTTTCTTATTTTGCTATTTTATTTTGCAGGACAACTGAAGGTATCTGCCTACATGAACTTTGGCTTGTTGACTGTTCATGGTAAGTGTTACTTGGAATATCTTGATATATATACGATACATTATTTCTTCAATTTGAAGTTGTGTTAGCATAAACCAATGTCCTAAAATGTCCCTGTAACTCAAAGTTAAAGTTTAATTTGTATTGGTAATATTTCAATTATATATTTAAAACATTCTAATGTCACTCCATGATAATATTTATGTTGCTGAATTGTATTCTTATTATGATCTTCTTACTTTTTCAGTCGTTCAAGCCCGTAACCTTTCTTCCAACTGGAAGCCACAATGTGACTCATATGTTAAGGTAAATATAAACATAAAAAGTTTTGGTAATATAATTACTACAATATAAAATATATTTCTCAGCTATTACTTCAACAGTTTAAAGATAGAAGCTTGTGTTGTGTTTGTACCCAAGCTGAGGTGACATGATTTGCCTGATTTGCCCCATGACACCCACTGAGTTTGTCACACCTTAATTAGAAGCTTGGCTTAATGAAGGCCTGACACTGACATCTGAATTAACTCTAACAAACAACTGAACTGTTTTCTTGCCATTTTGCTAATTTCACCTATTTGTTGATGTAGATGTCACTGGTCCCCGATGAATCTCGACGTACTCGCTGCAAGACCCAGGCAGTCTTGGACTCCAACAACCCCACCTATGATGACAAATTCTCCTTGTAAGTATATATACCACAATTGTGTTTACCAAAAGTAAAAATAAATACAAATATTTTAATGTAGGTTTTCTGCTTCTGTAAATAATACTAATCTCTACTGTTCTTTCCAATCTTAAAAAATAAACAGACATTAGTTTACAGAAAATATTTTGAAAATAACTACCATCAAAGTAATTTGTGTTTGTATATATCTAAAACCATGTCTGCCAATCTAAAAATGAGCTGGCTCCATGACCAAATCACAATCAAATTATCACCTATTGTTAGATCCATTGTTCTCGTCAACATCCTTCTGTTAAGTGATTGTCTCGTGTCTCACAAGCATTGTCTGCTGCTTGTCTCTTGTCTAGTCAAGTTGATCTTTATTGTCAGACATGGGATGAGTTGTCAATAGGTGTAAACATCATTAGTGATACTCGCACCTATTTTAAACATTACAAATAGTTTCAGGAAAATTTATTAAGAAACTATTGTTTTATACTTTTATGTATTTGTATCGAATACATTTACAATTTCATGTATTTTAATAAAAAGTCATATAATTGATTGTTTTCTTATTTGTTTTACAGTGAACTCCTTGATGAAGATCAGAATAAGCGTCTTCTGATTTCTCTCTGGCACAAGGACCAAAATAGCAGGTAAGCACTTGGATAATTTAGAATATTTCAGTTAGATCAAAATTGCAATTACAATTTTCATGTACATGTTAATTTCAATTAGGACTACAACAGTAACAGTAAGGATCAGACTGTTCCGGCTGATTGAGCAGGTTGTGATTGCAGCAATGTGATCCCTATTGTATACAAAGATTATCACCCCCTTCTCATACCCTGTGATGGCATTGTTGTCCAATCGGTAGTGTTGTTACAATCAATGTAGGTATCCACCAGCCAGGCATGGTAAATGGACCAGCAATCACATCAGTCCAGACATAGTTAGTGGTGTACATTACATCAAAGGTAGATCCTTCGTTCACCTGGGTGTGAATCTAGACAACAACCAAAGAACAATATTGGTCGGTGTAATTGATTACCACATTAGAGGGAGCTATATTAGGGCAGGGTAGTTAGCAGAGGCCAGTATCACTGCAACCTTTAACACAGTAACATCTCAAGCTTCATCATGGCTCCCAAGTCTACAACTACTGATCTGAACATGAATATCAAGATATCTAACAACAAGCCTATTATTTCCAGCTTGAACGAGTTCCTCGGCTGTATGTCCTTTGGGGTGAAGCATCTCGTGAACCCCAACAAGGAAGTCAATGGATGGTACTACCTTCTTACAGAAGAAGTTGGTCGCAAGAAGCACCTGCAAGTCTCATCCAGACCAAAAACTTCAGCAGCCCCTCTCAAGTCAAAGAACAGTAAGTACAGACAGAAAATTCAAAACAGTAAACAGCAAATTTACAACTAGTTTGTAAATATCATTTTGTAAATTGTAAATTTAAATACACATTTAAGTTTGAGTTCATAATATGTATTTCAGATTTAATATATGTTACTTCTTTTTGCAGATTACCAGAACATCCCCGTCATCAATAAGGATGTTATTGGGCTTGAGCCCATCACTGTCAACATGTACAGAGGCAAGAATGGCTATGGCTTCTCCGTAATTGACTCCTTTCCCGTCAAGGTCGGTCGTGTGGATGGTGCTTCTCCAGCTGAAATGGGTGGTCTGAAGCAAGGTGACTGCATCATCAAGGTCAACGGCCAGAACGTCTCTCGCTCCACCTGTGTCAGTGTCGCCAAGCTTGTCAAGTAAGTAGCAATAATTATTTATAACTATATACATAAATTATATAATGAAAATATTATATAATCATAAATTCACCTTTCCATTTATTTGTATTCATATAATAATTATTTCTCACTTTTTTCTCCAGACGTAGCAGTAGCAAGCTCATCCTGGATGTCCAACGCCAGAAGGAAGTTTCCATTGAGACCTTCGAGAAGTCCCCATGGAAGCCAAAAGCCCCCATCTATGAGTCCATCCACAACAACTCCACTGATGATCATGACTCATCTGATGGTGACATTGAAGAAACAAAGGCTGACCAGTGCATCTCTGTCGACCATGCCTTCATGGAAGACTTGGAGGAGGATGACTTCATTGCCACCAGCACCCCACTCCCTCTGCTTCTCGGTGGTCACAGGGTAAGCATCACAAAAATACATCATAATATGAATAATAACAGTTAATAAATGAATTAATTCATACAGCATCTGTAAATTAAATTAATGACGAAAAGTGACATAATATGACAAAAGCTTATGATTTTATCTTCTTATTCCAGACTGCCTACACTGGTCTTGCTGAGCGCCGCAAGCAGGAAGCTGTTCACCGCCTGATGAGTCTTGAGCTCGACTACATTGACTTCATGCATGCTGGTATGCAGCGATACTCCCGTCCTCTCCGCCACTGCATCCTGTCTGCCCAGCAGCACAAGGCTGTGTTCCAGAACATAGAAAAGGTTAGCGGGCTTGATGTGCTCTGAACTAGTACACAAACTACCTGGACAAAAACAAACCTGGACAACTGCATGAACTGAAGATCCTTGTAATTCCAGATCATTCCATAGCATAAGTGTAATGGCATTGTCAATGATGTCAAGGTTTTTAATTTGTAGATCACTTCATAGTTAAACACTCTGTTTGTAAATCCCATTGGTTCCTTAAGAAATAAATGTTTGAATGTTAAAGCTGTGTTACTTATTTGTCGGCTTTTCTTCCTTCAGCTGGTGACCATCTCAGAGTACCACATCAAGCAGATGCAGGACAACCAGCCATCCATGTACTCGGACACTGATGATGACTCTCAGTCCTCAGAGTCAGGCCACTTCCTCGCCTCCATGGGGCTCATCTACCAGTCCAAGGTCCACATGCTCTGCCAAGCCTATGAGATATACGCACATGGTCTTTCGGATGCCAATGGTGTTCTCTCAGACCTCAAGAGGAATGAAGATTTCATTCGATTTGTCAAGGTATGTATATTTAAGTATTTAAGTAATAATATATAACAATACTTGAATTTAATCAATCACATTTTTAACTTCTCTCACATTGTAGTATTATATTGCTTGTTTCAATAGCTAATGGTTTGTGTCTTCCTTGTTTCAGAATCCTCAGCTTCTGTCAGGTCAGCCCAGCATCTCAGCATTCATCTACCGCCCCATCCAGCACGTGAAGGAACTGTACCAGGTCCTCCAAGATATTTTCGCCAACACCCGTAGTGACTCCCAAGACCACATCACCCTCCAGCAGGTTGTTGATGGCATGCAAGCCTGTGTCAACAACATCACCAACTGCAGCAGCGCTCGTGTGTCAAGCTGGTCCTCCCTCACCTCCTCCAAGAGCAAACCCAGCAGTATCGACAGTGGCAGCATGAAGTCAGGGTCATCCAGCTCATCTGGTAGCTCTTCCTCCTCCCACAAGAAGAGCACTGGCTCGTCCATCCCCAGCTCCTACTCCATGAACACCATCCGCTCCTCTGTTGACTCTGAGGTCATGAGGATCCAGGACAGACTTGTCTTCTCCAAGAATGTTCCCGTGTTCCAGCTCTGCCAGGAGGAACGCCACCTTATCTACCAGGGTGATGCCTTCAAGTGGGCAGGCCGCCAATGGACCAAGGTTCACATGCTCATGTTTTCGGATGTTCTTCTCCAAGTTGAAGAAGAACATGACTACCTCCGTGTCCTTGAAGAGCCCCTCTTCCTCCGAGACATCTGTGGAATTGAAGCTCAGAGAAAGCATGGTATGTATTATTTTCTGTGAAATTTATGCAAATCCACAAATATTTATACTCAAATATAGGTAAAACATTCTATACTCTCTATGAAACTTACAATAATATTCCAAATATATTTGAACATATTTTGCAATACTTTTTCTGTCTTCCTGTACTTATGTATCTATCTTATTCTTCCAGCAACTGAATTCATCCTCCACACCTGCCCCAAGTCACCATGTACCGGAATCCCCATCCAGCAGAAAATGGTTCTCAGAGCCCCTACAACGGAAGACAAGTGTGTCTGGAAATCACTCATTGAACAACGTGTGTACTCAGTCCGCGGCTCCCTCCACACCTTCAGCAGCAGCAGCGGCCACATTGACGAGATCTCCGCCCGATCCAGCATCATCATCTAAGTGTTGTGTTCCTATGCCGACTACATACAGAATGATGGATAGACTGGATTATGTGTGTCATCTTCCAAAGACTTTGTTTGGATGTGTTTATAGTGCTCTGACAATGTGGGGACAACTGATCTGAAATGTGATCCAAGTGCAATCTTTGTATAGTGAATTATTGTACATAGAAAACCATCAGCAATTGTCAACTTTCTGTCCTGCGATGCATTGTTACAGACACCAGCATGCACCACAAATACACTACTTCCTGTTCTTGCTTTCTCATGTTGCAATATTGCTGTCGGATGGTTAAGTGCTATGTTTGTAGAAATGTCTCCGCTTTGTCATCTTGTCCATTTGTACATAGTCCACTGTGCTGTAATCTATCATTCGTATTTATGTCTGTATAGAAATACAATAAATGGCAAATCAAAACAAAATTACTTTTTGTGCTGTTTGATGGCTGAAGGGGTTTTGTAGCATGTATTGGTTTGTGATGGATCATATTATTTAGCTAGCCATGGAAACACCATCGCTAGATGTCTTGGTGTGTATGAAGCGTGTATCAAAACTGACAGATACCATCTGTAGAACTTTGACAGGTATACATGGATGCAGTCTTTATGGTCCATCGGGAGGTGGGGTAGCCAAGTGGTTAAAGTGTTCGCTCATCACCGTTTACTTGATTGACAGAAAATAGTTGCAATGGAGATCCTTTGTTGATCTTAGATAGTTGTGGTTGCACAAGCAGTGGATGCAGTAGAAAATGTTGTGCCACACAACAGTGAAAGTTGTAGAGGTTGTAATAGTAGCTGTAGGCGGGGGTTAAAAGCGCTCGCTAGCCACGCCAAACACCTGGGTTTGATTCCCCACATGGGTACATTGTGTGAAGCCCATTTGTGATGTCCCTTCCGTGATATTGCGGAATATTGCTAAAAGTGGCGTAAAACCATACTCGCTCACTATATAATGTATATGTATTATCGTGAGGTGAGGTGAAATTGGGTTTAAACGTCGCGCTGGAGAATTTTTTCGCTCATATGACGCTGTGCATGCGTGTGTGCGGCTGCTTGTACTAGCCCAGACTTAAGCTTGTTTTATAGTGCTAGCCCACTGAGATACCATGCCGCAGTGAAGCATGAATACCCCACTCACACACATTATACTGACTCCGAACTGGCCAGTCCTTGTACCCATTAATGCCGAGCTCCAGGCAGGGACCAACAAGTACCATATTTTAACGTCTTTTGGTATGACGTGGTCGGGGATTGAACCCACGACTCTGCTCTACGGGTGGACGCTCTAACCACTACACCACGGAGGCGGTTGTATTATCATGATGTAATTGGGGCATCAATGTTGCCTTGATGTTAAAGCATTCACTCAACACACTGAATACACTGGCTGGATTCCCATGTGTGCAATGTGTGAAGCCCTTTCTGGTGTTCCCTTCTCCCCTGCATTGTAGCATAGAATTATATACTCTACCAGGGCTCGATTTAAGCATTTAGAACTTGCACTGGTGCAACCTGAAACTGCTAAATGCAACTTCTCATGTATATCAACTTGCACCCAGAGCATGTTAATATATTGTGTTCAAAGAACACACTTCAGCTGGAAAACAGAATGATGAGGAACTGACTTTTTTGGAACAGTGACTGATTATTGTAGGAACAGTGACTGAAGGACTTGCTGTTCATGAAAGTTTAGGAAGTAAGATAATTACAGATTTCTTTTGTTATAATACTGTTCTAAACCGTCTTTACCAAAACTTAAAATTATACAATTTTATATTAAGCATCAGGTGCAACCTGTTTTTGTTTGGTGCAACAAGGTGATTGAGTTAGGTTGCACTGGGTGCAAGTAGGTTTCATTAAATCGACCCCTGTCTACTGTACTTAGGTATGGCATCAAATAGTGTTGCCTGCTCACAACTGCTAACCTTCCTGTAAGTATATAGTGAGGAAAACCCATGCTGGTGTTATTGGTGGTGTCACTGTAACAAATAAGGCTAGTAAGGCAGACACTAAAGGCCCCAGTTTTAGGAATCTCATGTGGAAATTAAATAAACTGGTTCTACCTTTTGCAAAGATTTTTTTTTCGTGTGCTGCTAAATTCACACAGTTAAATTACCTCTAGTTACAGAATTACAATGTATTAAGGCTCTATTATTTTAATTTTTTAAAAATATTTTTGGTGGAAGTGGTGCGCGCAGTGTACATGATATACATATACCATTTCTCCCACCCCTGACAAACTCAAAAGAATAGATTCATATAACATTTCATTACCAAAGACCACTGGGGATTATTTTCAGAAAAAAATACAACTACACACTTGAACAAAATAGGGCTTGGAATTACACCCATTTCCAATTGAAATCGGAATGACTTCAGCCCTTTCCAACTGACATTATAACATCGTTACCATGTCTGCCGTCTATAGCCCCAGAACAATTTTTGTGTCTGAGATGTTTGTAACAACATCGTTGATTGGCTTGTTACATGCAACAACATCGTCAAATGGCTAACAATGACATCACAGGGCTCCAGGTAATGGGGATGATGTATGTGCTGGGAGGGGACCATAAGTTTAGACAAAAGTGATTGGAACTTGCGAAATCTCACATGTTGAGAATTCATTAATTGAGTGCACCCGACTTTATACACTGTTAGAAATTAAAAAGTATACCATTCAAAAGACGTAGGGGATATTCCATTTTGTGAGCATACCACTAGCCACTGCCAATGCATATGAGAAAAAGTAATATACATTTATATCCATACAAATGAAAGATTTCCAAAGGAATGGAATGAATTGTCACATGTTCCCTTAATTTCTCCTCATCATCTGTTTCCTCTTTGGCTTCATCGTTTGCATTTTATCAATTTTGTAAATCCAATATCCCCTACTTTTTTTAATGGTTAATATTTTCACAAGATGAACGGTATGAGAATGTGTGTGACTAGTTTAGTTTAACGCCCCTTATAACATTATTGCGGTTATATGGTGGAGTGTCCCGTTCATGTTTCTTGTTTAACGGAGGCGGTGGGGAAGCCGAGTGGTTAAAGCGCTCGCTCGTCACGCCCAAGACCCAGGTTCGATTCCCCCCCATGGGTACAATGTGTGAAGCCCATTTCTGGTGTCCCCGTCGTGATATTGCTGCAATATTGTTAAAGGCGGTGTTCAACTCACTCACTCTTGTTTAGCGGCGTTCTCGTCAATATGACGGCAGTTTTTAAATTTTCAAATCTAGTATATCGATCCTCGCAGTATTGGATCTAGAGACATTCACGAATATGAGGTTCGAACCCACGATTCTAGTTTTCTGATATACCGAGTATAAGACACAATTCCATTATCAGAAGAAATCTCCACAGGCCCCCACTGCGGGTCAGAAAATCGATAAACTAGGCCCCGGTTTAGTATCAACACCCCCTACTATATAATATAGAAAGGTTCATCACAGAAATACGGTGACATGATCGAAAACCGGAAAATTACGCACATGTCAATGAATATCTCGTATTTTAAAGGTCTCACAAGTATCAAAAGCTTTTGTCCATATCTCCGATGTATGTATGAGGCATATACATGGGCTTTCCGTGGGGATGCATTTGATGGTTTTTTATTAAATCGCCAAAGACCGAGTTGCTGTGCCGGAGTTGTCCGGAGATATTGACAAAAGCTTTGATACTTGTGAGACCTTTAAAATACGAGATATTCATTGACATGTGCGTAATTTTCCGGTTTTCGATCATGTCACCGTATTTCTGTGATGAACCTTTCTATATTATATAGTAGGGGGTGTTGATACTAAACCGGGGCCTAGTTTTTCGATTTTCTGACCCGCAGTTGGGGCCTGTGGTTTAAATGAAGTATAGAGACCCCGCCAGTGACAATATATACCTTGGTAGCGGTGTTATGCGTTACAAGCCCCTGGATGTATTAGAGTTTAAAAGAAAAAGGAATGACTGAAACTTCATTAGCTCACTCGCTAAGTTCAGGAGCGGAACAGCACCACTGAAAATTGAAACGGGCCGATACGCGAACACGCCACTGGAGCAGAGAACGTGTTTTATATGCACCCCCCTCAGTAGAAGATGAGTGTCGTGTACTCCTACACTGTCCCTTGTATGTAGACATCAGTATCTCACTGTGAAACACTGATGGATAACTTCGCTGTACGCCAGGATATTGAAATTGTGGATTTTGTATGATCAAACCCTGTGATATGTTCTGTTGCTGCCAAAACCTGCACCGATATTTTTGAAACGTAGAAAATCATTTTTATATAATATTTAATTCTGTTTTAAACTTAAGCTCTAAACTGTGGTATTCCTTGTATGTAAATATGTATATATTCATATGTGTATATTTAAAAACATTAACTCATAAACATGGTAAAACATTCTACGTATTTTACAGGGCTTATACATATATTTTAAAGTATTTTAGTATATAATGTCTATAGTCTCCCATAACTCTGTATAGAGTGGTTCATTACTTTTTATATTGTATTTTAATATGTTACACGGGTCTTACTGTAATGAACTGACTTAAATAAACTGCTGTCTGTCTGTCTGATGAACACGAATATTTCTTGCAAGAATCTTCATTTCTATACAGTTTAATTCTAAACGAAGGTGATATTCGTCGAACAGTCTTATACATGCAATTAAACACGAAACTCATATTTTAAGCTGAGATGCTTGAAGAAATATGCCAATATACAACCTATATTGCAGGTGGCGTGAAACATACAATGGAAAAATTATGATGCTGCTATGAAGATTGTCTGCTGATTATTAAAATTAAAACACTACGCCCATCTAAAGTATTTTAAGATCATGTTTATCATTTTCGAACGGTACGTTACCAAGAGTCTCATGTGATTTCAATGAAGCTGTTAAAATGGGTAAATAACGAATTAAGCAACTGTACAACAAAGACAGGTCCATCTCATCACTGTTTACATCCCTTTACACGAAGCTTACATCATACAAATCTGCACTTTAATATCCATTAAACTGTCTGCCGCCCAGACCGACCTGTACTGCGACCACTCCGACCGGGACGTACCATCATCAAATATAACAGCAGCGGTGATTGGCTAATTGTATGTGAAAACACTACCGATTGGCTGCCAATGGCATCAAAGGCGTAAAGAAACGGGTGATAATCTATGTATATGTAGGGATCAGCCAAATTCACAAGCGAACTAGACGAAACCAGCTAAACACTACGGCTTAGTTGGTTAAACGTACCTTTAACGTGAGTTAATTAAGTTGCAAGAGCGATGTCGATTGCAATTACAGAACCAACCGATGCGGTACAAACATGTTAAAAAGATCTTTATGTTAAATGAACAATGTGATAGTTCCAAGGCTACAAAGCTTCTCTTTAACAATATATGCGACGTTTCGGTGTAGATGCTAAT